GAGAGGAGGAGGAGGAGAGGAGGAGGAGGAGGAGGAGGAGAAGGAGCGCGAGGAGTAGGAGGGGGAGGATGGGGGGAGGGGGAGGAGGGGCACGGTCCTTGCTTCTGCCGCCCTTGCCTCCCGCCCCCCCTCCCCCAGTCTGTGTTGTGTCTGTCGCCTTCTCGCTGGCGGGCGGCCGGGCGTCGGCGCTACTCACCGGCGCCGCCGCCGGCGAGCCCCACCTCCATGATTCGCCCGAGCAGGGAACCTTTTTTCATATCCTTCCTGCGGTCGAATGTCGTGTCCTTTTTCTCTCGCCTCCCTCCTCATCTACTTCCTCCTCCTCCTGCGTCTCCTGTCTGCGGGGGCTGGTCATCATCATCGTCATCAGCATCATCAACATCATCAGCATCATCAGCATCATCATCAGCATCATCAGCATCATCATCACCATCTTCGGAATCAGCATCACCATCATTATCATCATGACTACCACTGTCATCATAATCATATCATCATCACCACCACTGGCATCATCATCGCCATCATCATCAGCATCACCATTATCAGCATCAGCATCATTATATTCATCATCATCATCATCAGCATCATCAGCATCATCATCAGCATCAGCATCGGCATCAGCATCAGCATCAGCAGCAGCATCATCATCATCATCATCAGCATCAGCATCAGCATCAGCATCAGCATCATCATCATCATCATCATCATCATCATCATCATCATCATCATCATCATCATCATCATCATCATCATCACCATCCGTAGCCATTTTGGCTCAAGCCATCCTCTCGCCCCTCGTTTTGGGCCCCCGCGGGAGGGCAATAGCGGCGCTGGGCATTGGCTGCGGACGGTTGCCGAGCTGCCCCTGCGGCAGCCGAGCCGCCCGCGCAGGACGCTGGAGGATCTTCCCTCTGGCCTGCGAGGCGAGCGAGGCGCGCGGCGGCGCGAGCGGTAACTGACGGGAAGTTGGCCGCCGCGCTCGCGCGCATCTCCCTGCTGGAGGAGAAGCTCGCGCGCGCCGAGGCGCGTGGTGAGGCGGCGGCGGCGCAGGCCGTTCGGCTGGCTGACCCCCTCGGCGGAGACGCCGCCGCGGCGCCCAGCCAGGTCCTGCTCGACGAGCTGGCCTCGCGCCTGGCGCTCGCGGTCCCGGTGCTGATGGACGTCCTCGCGGAGCCGCAGGCGGCGGACACGGCGGCGGACGTCGGCGCCCCTTCGGGCGGCGGCACTGGCGGCGGCAGGCGGCGGGCCGGCGGCGGCCCAGGCGTGGAGGGCGGTGCAGCGCTGCCAACCCCTCCCGACGGGCCCGCGCCGCGGCTGGAGGCCGACAGGCGGAATGCAGGGCTGCATTGCCGCTCTCGGCGAGGCGCCTCGATCGCGAGGATGAGGCGCTCGTCTCTTAACAGGCTGAAGCGCGGGGCGAGGCGGAGGACAGAGCAGCACGGCTCGCCCCTCGGCGCCGTCGGCCCCGCGCCGAGTACCTGCTGCGGGGGCGGCTGCAGACGCGGCGCCAGTTGACTGGGCCGTGGCGCGCAGGCGCGGCCGCAGCCTCCCAGCAGGCGCCGGCTTCCAGCGGGCGGACAAGGTGCGCAACGCGGAGGAGGTCCCTGTCCCTCCCCTCGTGTCTGGCGCGCGTTGGTGGCCAGCGGAGGCGGAGCACGCCGACGGTTTGCTGGACGCGACTGTGGGCGCCGAGGTGCTTGGCAATGACATCGTCGCGGAGGACGTCGAGGAGTCGGAGGAGAACGTCGGCGGCGACGACGACAGGCAGGAGCACGCCTCCGTGGGGGGCCTCCCCGCTGGCGGACTCGCGGAGGAGCTCGAAGAGGTGATGCAGGTGGAGCGGAAGGGCCCGGCGGTCGAGGCCGCTGGCGCTGACCCTAGGGGGCGCGTTCGGAGCCCTGGGGGCTTGGGAACGTTTCCCATTCGCGCTGCTGTCGCGGCGGCCGAGGCCGCCGGCGCCGACCCCAGGGGGCGCGTTCGGAGCCCTGGGGGCTTGGGAACGTTTCCCATCCGTACTGCCATAGCGGGGAATGCTGTGCAGGAGGACGGGGATGACGGCAGCGACGTCGCGCAGGAGGGCGGGGTGTGCCAGCCGCAGGCCGTCTTCATCGGCGACGTCGCGGAGAACGTGGCCGACCGCGAGTACGGCTTGCTCGCCCATGCTGCGCGGCGCCGCCTGCGTGTGCTGCAGAGGCAGGTGGGGGAAAACCAGTTCGCGGTGGCCGAGGAACAGCAGCAGTTCCCTTCGGAGCGGGCGGAGCTCGTGGCGCTGCGGGCCCGATACAACGGGCTGATGGCTGGGGCTCACGCCCCCTTGGGCGTCAAGCGGCGCGCAGCCCGCAAGGCGTGCGGCAGGCGCTGACGGACGCGATCTGTCCCGGCAAATTTCTCACTTTCTTTCGCGCTCGCGCGGCATCTGCCTTAATGTAGTTGTGGCACCCTGCGGCTCCGGACCCATCGGTCTGCCGAGCGCGGTGCCGTGTGCTCGTGGCGCCAGGCGGGTCCGAGGATCACGAATGCCTGCGACGAGCTTGCGCCCTTCCTGGGCCCGCTGCGCTGCTCTGTCCGTGCCGTTTGGCACGTCAAGTGGCGCTTGCGGCTTGCAGCTTTGCTGCGTGCCAGCCCGCCTGCCTTGTGCACTGCTATGCTGCTGTAGCGGGCTGAGTCGCCGTGACTGCTCGGATGCCGTACTACCGCTTGCTTCGGCTGGGGCGGTGGGCGGTCTCTTGGCACTCAGGTGAATCTGCGAGGGTGCGCTGAGGCGCACGGCCGAGCGTTGCCGCCGCAGGGCCAGAGGAAAACGCTTCGGTCCGAAGGGCAATACGAGCTAGGAGCTCCTGACCTCTTTAGACGCGTGGATCATCATCATCCTCATCATCATCATCATCATCATCATCATCATCATCATCATCATCTGCATCATCATCATCATCATCATCATCATCATCATCATCATCTTTATCGTATGATGCCTGGTGAGCTGTGATCCTCGAAACTCTCGCCACTCTAGTGGGCTCCTGGGAGAGCCAGCGGAGTGGTGTCCCACGTCGACCCAAACGAAACCTCGCGGCCCCGTGGGGGGCTGCGATTTGCGAAAATGTCGTCGCTTTCGTGGGCTCCTGGGAGGGCCAGCCTCAGGCGAGACCTCGCGGCTCCCTGGGGGCGCTGCGGTTTGCGAATCAGTTTTTTTTTGGTCCTTGGGAGGTTCGGCGGAGTGACGTTTTGGAGCTGCGAAGTGCGCAACTGTCGCTACTGTGGTGGGCCTTTGGGAGGGCCAGCGGCGTGGTTTCCCACGCAGACCCAGACGAGACCTCGCGGCTCGCTGGGGGTTGCCATCTGTGAGAGCGTCGCTCTTTTTGTCGGCTCTTGGGAGGGCCAGCCGAGTGGTGTCCCACGTAGACCACCATGAGACCTCACCGTCCGTGGGGGCTGCGATTTGCGAGAATGTTCCCACTTTCGTGGGCTCCTGGGAGGTTCAGCGGAGGGTTGTCGCAGTGGGACTACCATGAGACCGTCCCTGGGGCGCTGCGATTTGCGAAGCCGTCCAGCGGAGGGGTGTTTCACGGGGGCCAACATGAGACCTCGCCGTCCCTGGGGGGCTGCGATCTGCGAGTTTGTCGCCACTTCCGTGTTTTGGGAGGTACATTGGAGGGGTGTCCCACGGGGACCACCATAAGACCTCGCCGTCCTCGGGGGGCACTTGCAGCGCTCAGCGCAGGACGCTGTTTTCTCATAGCCCGCATGGCGCTGTTCTGCAATGAGAACCTAGCGCGATGCGCTGGTACTCCCACGAAACATGTCTCCATTCCCCCTTTCATTCGTGTGTTTCCACACCCCATCGTGGTCTCCTTTTCGCCAACGGCTTAAATTTTAACAGTTGCGCCGCGAATGTGAAACACTTGACCCGGGTTCAACGTTTGTTGGCGAAGCGTTCAAGAGCACGGCGGGTCATTCAGTGATTGCTTTTGTGTCAGGCGGTCCGATGTATAGTCGCCCCATGTGTACAAAAAAGGGTTGGGTACGTCCCGGGTTGTTGATTCAAACGAACCACACGCCCTTCGTCTTCGTGGATTTGTTAAACACAAGCTGACATTCGTGCCCCCCCTGCCGGCCATAAGGACGACGCATGAGTAACTAACGCGAACACGGCTTGAGTAAAACGGCGATACGCAGTAAGGCGTATGAGCACGCCGTAGCACACATTCGAACTCCCTCTTGAGCCTCTGGAGAGGCCGAAGGAGGAGGAGTTGCAGGAGCAGGGGGAGGCGGATGATGATGATGATGATGATGATGATGATGATGATGATGATGATGATGATGATGATGATGATGATGGTGATGGTGATGGTGATGGTGATGATGATGATGATGGTGATGATGATGACGATGATGATGATGATGATGATGATGGTGGTGGTGGTGGTGGTGGTGGTGGGTGGTGATGATGTGATGATGATGCTGATGATGATGATGATGATGATGATGATGATGATGAGGATGAGGAGGAGGAGGAGGAGGAGGAGGAGGAGGAGGAGGAAAAGGAGGGGGGAGGAACACGAGGAGGACGCAGGCGGAGGCAGGAGCAGGAACAGGGCGCGGGATGAACAGGGAACGGAAAAACAGGAGGAGGCACCTGCCCCGTCCCTTCCCACGTGTGTTCTGACGCGTTTCCTGTCTCTTCGCCTTTCCTGCGTCCCCCTCTGCTGTGCCTCAATTAGCTTTAAGTCGGGCATGCCCCTCTACGGGAAGAGCGTTCAATAATAGTCAACAAATAGTCTGGTGACGATATGTTCGTGCTCTTTTGCCAATTTCTGTATATATTTTATGTTTCTTAGCGAATCCGCCTGTAGGAGGACATGCCCGACCTAAACGTAGTTTCCCGCGTGTTCCTCCCATATTCCGACCAGCGCCTGCATTTTCTTCGACTCGCTTGCGCCCGCTCCCTCGTCTGTTATGACCCGCGCGTTCCGTCGCCGCCACCGCTGTCGTCCGCCGAGGAGGAGTCCGGCCTGCCCGAGTTCCTCAGGCTTGGCCCGCAGGACGCCACCCTATTCCCGCGGGCCACGACGGCCGCGCCGCCGCCGCCGTCGCCATGGCCGTCGCCGTCGCCGTCGCCTTTGTCGTCGCCGCCGTCGCCTTCGTGGTTGTCGCCGCCGCCCTCGCCGTCATCGTCATGGCCGTCGCCGTGACCGCCGCCGCCGCCGCCGCTGCCGTCGTCGCTGCCGTCGTCGTCGTCGTCGTCGTCGTCGTCGTCGTCGTCGTCGTCGTCGGCGGCGGTATCGTCGTCGGCGGTGGCGTCGTGGTCGTCGTCGTCGTCGGCGGTATCGTCGTCGGCGGTATCGTCGTCGTCATCGTCGTCGTCGTCGTCGTCGTCGTCGTCGTCGACTGCGCGAGGAGCCCCGCGCGGCAGGCGCCCTTCGGGCGCGGGGTCGCGACGTCGCTTCGCAGACCTCTCCCGAGCCCGCGGCGGCCGCGGTGCGCCAGAGCGCGGCCTCGCAGACGCACCCCGACGGGGCGCGCGCCCCGCCGCCCTGTCCGCCGCTTGGGAGGGAGTACCGCCTCCTGTCCTCTGCAGGAAGAACTGCCCAAGAAACAATGGAGACGACGTTCCGTGCTCTTTTGGCTGTTTTCTGCTTTTCGGGTCCTTTCTTTTCAGGTTTGCCTTGCAACATCCGCCTCTAGGACGGCATGCCCAACCCAAAGCTGGCCGCGTCGTGGCAAGAATCCCGACGGGGGGCCTTCGCCCGTTTTCGGCCTTGGGGGGCCCGCGGGCCCCCGGACCGTCAAGCAGCAAGGACCGAGGATGAGAAGTTGGCCCCGATGGAAGGGTCGGGGATTCCGGGGACCCCTTATGGAAAAAACGAGGATCGGATGCCTGTCGGGGGCGGCAAAGAGAGCGATGGTGCCAGGGGGGGCGGATATCATGGCGGGGGGGATGATATCTCCTCACGTTTCGTGGCGCCTCTTATTATTTCAATGCGTCCCCGGCCGCCACCCTGGGCCGCGCAAGTGCCTCGGGCTACGATCTGCAACCCCCCGAGGATGAGGAGAAGGAGGAGGAGGAGGAGGAGGTGGAGGAGGAGGCGGAGGCGGAGGCGGAGGCGGAGGCGGAGGCGGAGGCGGAGGCGGAGGCGGAGGCGGAGGCGGAGGAGGAGGAGGAGAGAGGGCGGACGATCCCGAGGCAAACCCAGAACATATGGGAAAATATGGGGAATATCTTTATTTTGTGTGTATTTATTTGTGTGTCCCATGCCCCCTTCAGAGGAGGAGGAGGAGGAGGAGGAGGGAGGGAGGAGGAGGAGAAGGAGGAGTCTTGGACGCCCCCCTCTTGGACGCCCCCGAGATGTCTGAGGAGGCAGCGCCACCGGCAGGGTGCCACCTCCGGCGGGGAGGTCCGCGAGGCTGTCCCGAGCTGGAGATCGGAGACGTCTCAAGCGTTCCTCCTCTTCCTCCTCCTCCCCCTCTTCCTCCTCCTCCTCCTCCTCCTCTTCCTCGCTCCTCCTCCTCGTTCCTCCTCCTCGTCTTCCTCCTCCTCCTCTTCCTCGCTCCTCCTCCTCCTCCTCCTCCTCCTCCTCTTCCTCCTCCTCGCTCCTCCTCCTCTTCCTCTTCCTCGCCCCTCCTCCTTCCTCCTTCCTCCTCCTCGCTTCTCCTCCTCCTACTCGCTCCTCGCTCCTTCTCCTCCTCCTCCTCCTCTTCCTCCTCCTCCTCCTCCTCGCTCCGCGCTCCTTGTGGTGACGCTTGTCTCTTGTTCCTGTCAATCGAGGAGGGACGACTGGCATAAGCATGATCTTTCGGAGGGCCGCGCGGGTTTTTGGGGTCGGCTCTGGACCACGCTCACGACGCCTCTGGCCTGGCCCCCCGGCCCGCTCCGCGCGCCAGGGGCCAGCGCCGATCCGAGAGCTCTTCGCGGACCTCCGAGCCATTTTGTCTTTGAGTGTGTAATCTGCAGCAAGGGCAACCAAAGGGGGGCGGGATACGCATGCCGGGGGGATGCATCACCCTTTCATCGCCCGTTGCCCCCCGTAGCCCCACCCCGCCCGGGAACATGCGGATTTGCTGTCGGGGGCCCTATCGCCGATGTGTCGGCGGTGCATCGCCGCTTCCGGGTCGATGCTTCCTCCCTGTGCTAGCCCCTCCTTGTCGTTGCCCCCCAATGCAGATGGTCCTCCTCCTGGTTGTCATGGCGCGCGCCGAGGGCGAAGAGCGGGTTGCGGCTGACGAGGGAGGCCTGGTGTCGCCGCGGGGAGGCGGAGGGAAAACGTCGTCTTGGCCGGATGTCGGGGCCCAATCATCGTCCGGCTCAATCAGGGCCCACTTCGGTCCGGTCGATCTGGTCCGACGTCGAGTCCAGCCAGTCAGAGCCGACACGACCTCCAGGCTTCGACGATCGGGTGCGGCCCAGCGCTTGCGGTGGTGCTGGTGTGCGTGGCCAGTCCGTTTCGGTTCTGGCCCCATGCTGGTCTGGTCCAGTTTGTACACGACGCACTTTCCGATCCGATCCGAAGGGCCGATTCGATGGTGTTGATCCTGGGCTCAGGGGCAGCGTCGGGGGGGATGGTCTCAGGGGGGACGCATCGACGCCCAATCGCCCACTGATCGCCGATGGGGGCCCGATAGCCTGCTCTGCTCAGAAGCGCCCAGAGAGCCAGTTGGACTGCCTTGTCATGGCCCCTCGCCGCCCTTGGGCGATTCCTCTTTTGCGCATCTCTCAGACGCAACGTTGGGGGGGGGATCAGCTGAAGGGGGATGCATCGACTACTAATCGCCCATTCATCGCCAATAGACGCACGGTGGCCCGACCTGCCCAGGAACGTGCGATTTCGCTATCGGGGGCTCTCGCCGAGTTGTCGGCGATGTTGCCGCTTCAAGATTGAGGCCCCTGCCCCTCCTGAGCCAGCTCCCCCCTCACGTTGGCCTTCGACCTCGTGCCACTCGCAGTCGCGCCGTCTGTTTCCTCGTGGTTTCGCTCGGAATGGCGCCACCGCTGCCGCGTTGCTGCGTCATCCTGCTCTTGCTTCTCGTGCTCCTCCTCCTCCTGCTCCTCCTGCTCCTCCTCCTCCTCCTCCTCCCTGGCATACGCGGGAAGGGTTACGCCCCCCGAGCGCGCAGGCGCTGATGGCCTGCGGCCAGCGGACGTTCGCGAAGCTCCTCGGACCGCCCTTTTTGTGATTCTCGCCTGCCTGTTCTCCGAGGTTGGCAGGGGTCGATGTCTCGTGCTCTGTCCTCTCGGAGTCTGCCGGAGCCCTCTCGGGTTCCCGTGTTTTGGGCCCCTGGGCGAGCCTGGCTCGCGTCGGTGGCGGCGACCTTGGCAGGGTCCATCTCGATCGGATTGATCCGATCCGATACCGGTTTCGGCCATCTCGACCCGTTCCGATCCTGATGTTCCGACCATTCGCTGCGTCCCCACGCCTGCGTGGCGTTGGTGTGCGGTGTGGCGCAGCCGATCCGATTCGATCCCGAGCCCGTGACGATGCAGCCTGATCCGATTAGGGGGCCACATGCGAACCCTACCCCTACCCCCGACGATTTCTGAGGGGGAGGGTGGGGTTCACCTTGCTCGGGAGCTCCTGTGCGAAGTGAACCCCACCCTCCCCCTCAGAACTCGTGGGGGGTAGGGGTAGGGTTCGCATGTGGCCCCCTACCGATCCTTGGGGAACCCATCATGACGTAAGCATAAAACTCGGAGGTCCGCGCGGATTTCTCGGATCGGCGCTGGGCTCCCCTCGAGAGCGCGCGGAGCGCGCCAGGGGCGCAGCCGGGGGCGCCGCCAGGGGGCCATCCGCTCGGATCCGAGACATCCGCGCGGACTTCCGAGTTTGTTGTATGCTTATGTCATTCTTCGTTCCTCTAGGATACGACGGACACCCCGACTCGATCCGGCTTCCCTCCCTGATGCCGAGGGCTCCTGCCCTGGGGAGAGAGGTGATAGGGCTTGTTTTCCACCACCACCACCATAAGTTGGAGGGGGGAAGGAGGAGGAGGAGGAGGAGGAGGAGGAGGAGAAGGAGGACCCCCTCCCCCTCCAACTTATGGTGGTGGTGGTGGTGGTGCTGGTGATGGAAAACAAGCCTATCACTGATGCCGACGGTTCCTGCCCTGGGGAGAGAGGTGCTTTCGTGACGCATGCGGGTCGTCCGCCCAGCCTTCGGCCTGCTGTCCTGCGACCATTGCCTGACTGGTTCGGCTGCCCCTTCCCCCCCTTTCCCCCCCTTCCTCCCTCCTCCTCCTCCTCCTCCTCCTCCCTCAATTGCTCAATATGAAAATACTCTCCCTCTTCCCCTGATGGCGTCCGGGTGATGGCCGCGCACCCTCCGCGTACTGTTTTTTTACACAGGATCCCCGGGAAATCCCGGGAAACGACTCTCGCTGAGGCGCCGGCGTCATTTTTTCCCAAAATGCTGCTCTCGTTGAGGCGCCGGCCTCATTTCTGCTCCCGAATCGTTCCGAATCGTGCTCCCGCTGCAGCGTGGGCCTCATTTTCGGATCGGTGTTTGGCCTCCGTCGTTCAGGATGGCGTTCTCGCCCCAGCGCGGGCCTTTTTCTCGCGCGCCCATCCGCCCGCCACCACCGCGCCGCACCGCCACCACCACCACCACCACCAACCACCACCCACCACCACCACCACCACCACCCACCACCACCACCACCACCACCACCATCACCTCCACCACCACCACCACCACCACCACCACCACCACCACCACGACAACCACGCACACACGCACGCACGCACGCACGTGCACCACCACCCACTACGCACGCGCGCGCGGAGCCACAGGTCCGCTACGACACGCGTCCGCGGATAGAGAAAATCAGCGCCATGGTAAGGGATGGGAGGGAGGGGTAGGACGTCAGATATGACGCGAGCGCACCTAGCTTGCCCTTTCCCCCTCCTTCCTCCTCCCTCCTCCTCCTCCTTCTCCTTCTCCTCCTTCTCCTCCTCCTCCTCCTCCTCCTCCTCCTCCTCCTCCTGTTTGTGTGTTCGGCATCACCGACATAAGCATTGCCATCAGCACATATATACCCAGCTGCATGCGGCAAGCCTCGCCACCTTGCTTGTGCAGCAGCGTAACAGAAAGGCCGAGTTTACGAACAGCTCACTTCTCTTGAGTAGTCTGCAATGGGGCGGGTCGTGATCCCGACCTCGTCTTCGTCCGCGCGGTAGGCAGGAGGAGGAGGAGGAGGAGGAGGAGGAGGAGGAGGATGCGAAGGAGTAGGACGAGGAGGAGAAGGAGAAGGAGGAGGACGAGGAAGAGGAGCAGAGGTAGGAGGATATGGAGAACATGAGGATGAGGAGGGGAAGGCTTCTGTTGGCCTTCTTGGGGCTTCTGTTGTGAGCCGTCTCACGGGACTATTGGCCAGTCTGACGCCTATGGAGGCCTCCTTGGGGGCCTCTCTAGGCCGCGGTGGTGCCCTCTTTGAGCGGTTTGCAGTTGCCTTTGGGGCCTTCTTGGGAGTTCTATGGGCGACCTGTGGGTCATCTTGGGCCGACGTGGAGCCCTCTTAGTGGCCCCTTGAGCTGTCTTGGAGCTATTTGGGAGGTCCCTTGGAGGCTTCTTGGGTCGTTTAGGGCTGTCGGAAATCCAAACATATGATAACCTGACAGCCTTTCAGCGACAAAAGGACACTTGATTTTTTATCTCCTCGGTCTCGCCAGAGGAGAGCCTCGTGGAGATCTCTTGAGCCGTCTTGGGGGCCTCTTGATCTGTCTTGAGGCTGTATTGGGAGCCTCTTGAGCCGTCTTGGACCATCGTGGGCCATCTTGGTATCATATGTTGGAAGCCGTCCTGAAGGCCATGAGGCTCCAAGAAGGCCCCAAACCAGATCAAGAGGCCCCTCAAACGGCCTGGGAGTTCTCTCAGAGGCCCTCCAGGAGTGCCCGAGGAGGACAACACTATTGTATTTCAACAAGTTTCTGAAGGATGTTGAGGTTCTGGCATGTTTGGGTTTCCGACCGCCCCAGGCAGCCCAAGTGTCCTCTCTGGGCTTTGGGAACCCCTCGGGCGACATTTGGGTTCTCTTGGGTCGACTTGGCTCTCTTGGGAGCACCTTGGGCTGCCTTGCAGCTATTTGGGAGGCCTCTTACAAGCCTGTTGGGCCGTTTTTGGTGGTTGGAAACCCTAACAGGCGAGAGCCTCACAATCCTTCAACCAACCTATGGGAAAACAATGGTTTTGGCCATCTCGAGCTCTCCAGGAAGGCCTCTTTGAGCCTTTTCGGGCCGTCTTGGGGGCCTCTTTGGAAGTCTCGAGGCCCTCTTGGGATATCTTGAGCCGTCTTGAGGCTCTCCTTGAGCTGTCTTGGGCCAGCTTGAGGCGTTTTGTTGTCGCCTTGTTTGTCTTGGACCCTGTCTTTGAGGTCATCTTGGCCGTCTGGAGGCCGCAAACACCGCCAGAAACGAACAGGTCAAAGGAGCAGTTTTTTTAACGGGTGCGTGAGGGTAGGGTAGGGCAGGGGGGCTTCCACCAGATACCACAACACATTCTAACGCGCCCACTCCGCGCAGGCACGGTGGCGGACATCTCTAGATCATCACCACGGTCATATCACCATCTTCCTCACCATCATCCCATCATCGCCATCACCATCACCATCATCATCACCACCATCATCATCGGCATCAGCATCAGCATCATCATCACCATCACCATCACCATCATCATCATCATCATCATCATCATCATCATCATCATCATCAGCGTCAGCATCATTAACATAATTTACGGTACACAGCCGCGGGGTGCTCTCGGGTGATATACAGCCGCGGGGTGCTATATCTGTTTGTCCCACTTGCTTTCACGGCTCGCGTTCTTCCTGATTCTTTTCCTTCTGCCCCTTTTTTCCCGCTGTGGCGATCCATGTTCTCTTGGAGCGGGGCTCCAAGAGCATGCCCGGACATGGGTGATCTTTCAGTTTTGGCCTGGAGGGCCCCCCTGGCAGCTCTTCTAACGGCACGCGAGCTCATCTGTTTTGTCCGCTGCGTCCCCTCAGCTTTCCTCCTTCTCCTCCCAAAATAGCGCTGGAAGAAGAAAAAAAAAAACAAAAAAAAAAAAACATAATTTACGGTAGGTTCGCGTCGTGTCGACCGGTGGCGACCCCGCCGCACGCGTTCAAGGCCGAACGATCTGACGTTTCGGAAACGGCCGATCGCTCCAAGGGGAAACGATCCCCGCGGTGTCGGGAACCAGCGCCAGGGCCAGCGCGACCGAGAACGCCTGGGGGCGTGCTGTGGCGTTGGCCCCTTCAAACAGCGCCTGGCAGTCGGGCTGTGCGACTCCGTGGCCGATGCGGACACGCAGACGGAGCCGCCGTGCGTAGAGCCCCGGCGGTCTTCACAAGGCCCGGTCTCGACGGCCTCGGGGGGGAGGGCGCGGGTCAGGAGGGGAAAAACACACAGACACAATCCATCGGCGATCCCCCTGAGAATATGGGAAAGATTGGAAAGTATGGGAAGAGGTGGGGGAAGACGACCCCCCCCGAAAATATGAAGAAAACAAATCGAATCCTGGGATTTGTGTCTATTTGATCGGTGTGTCCCTGGGCCCCTTCAGAGGGAGTGTGGAGGGTGGTGGAGGGCTGAACTGTCTGGGAGATGTCCGATCAGCTCGGAGATCTTCAAGCAAAAGCCGCCGTGGTGGCAGTGCCTCCCTCAGGCCTGGAGGCACTTTTTCATGACGAGCCGCTCGCCCAGAAACTGTCTCCATGCGCTTATGCGTTGCCGGAGGTGGTTGATGACTGACTCGTCGGTCTGGGCGACCGGAGTGGCGATGTGGGTCTCGGGCAGCATCAGAGGGTTGAGGGAGAAGGTGAGGGAGGACGAGGGGTTAGGAGAGGAGGAGGAACGGGAAAAGAGGGAGGAAGGATGAGGAAGGATGAGGCGGAAGAGATGGAATGAGAAAGGAAGAGGATGACGAAGGAGGAGATGTGGGAGAAGGGAGAAGGTGGAAGTAAGGGAGGTTCAGGCAGAGAGGAGGAGGAGGAGGAGGAGGAGGAGGATACTACAGAGAGGGAGGAGGAGGAGGAGGAACGACGAGAGGGACAGTATCGATTGCGGTAACTCTGCGCCTGCGAGCGGCGCACGACAGGCAAGATCAAGTGCCTTGATCATGTTGCTGGTGGCGGCATTCCATTTCACAGTTGCTGGCGGAGTGTGGTAGCACGTGCAGCAGGCTGCAATCGGTGCACACCTCCTTTGTCACGACCAGTCCCCCTCTGTGAGCACGTCGGTGCACAAGGATGGCTGCCTCAAGCTCACGTCCTCCGCTTGCTCATCGCCGAGCCCTCGGCCTCTGAGCTGCCCAGCCCCTCCCCTGGCCACGGGCCGTTCCCTCGACGCGCGACCCTCTGTCGGGTGGCCACGCCCGCGGCCACTTGTTCCCGTCGAAATAAAACAACAACACATAGACATAAACTTTTTGCGCTCCGCGCGGATTTCTTGGATCCGCGCCTGAGCCCCCCGCCAGGGGCGGCGCCTCCGGCGCCGCCCCTGGCGCGCTCCGCGCGTCAGGGAGGGGGGGTCCTGCGCGAATCCGAGACATCCGCGCGGAGCGCCAAAAGTTTATCCGTAAGGGCTTCGACCCCTGCCGCCGGCCCCCTCTCTCGGAGAATGGGCCATGGAAGAGCTAAGTCATGAGGCCTTGGCGCTGTCGTGAAGCAGTATCGAAACTTCATGCGAAGCCGAGTCGCAATTTGCAAAACCAACTGATCACAAGAGGGGTTACCACACCTGGCGATTGGTAAGACGTGTATGGTTTAAGGGCTTGGTTACCACACCTTGCGATGAAAGGGCCGAGGGAGTTCTCGCAGTTTGGGTTACCACGCCTTGCGATGGATGTGCGTGATGGGTTCGAATTTCAGAAATGTGGCGAATCCCCTGTGTTTTTGGACCCTGACCCCGCGGATCTGCGTGAGGGGTGGCACCGAATTTCAGAAATGTGGCAAATTTCCTGTCTTTTTGGACCCTGACCCCGCGGATCTGCGTGAGGGGTGGTACCGAATTTCAGAAATGTGGCGAATCCCATGTGTTTTTGGACCCTGACCCCGCGGATCTGCGTGAGGGGTGGTACCGAATTTCAGAAATGTGGCGAATCCCCTGTGTTTTTGGACCCTGTTCCCGCGGATCAACATCCAACTGCAGAGAATTGCAGCTGGAAGGCTCCCTCGAGCCGACTGCCCTCGGCTGAACAAGAGGGACAGCGAGCAAGAAAGAACCCCACCCACACGCCAGTGGCTACAAGCGGTGGGGGGCAAGGCGGAGGGGCGTGCAACGAACGCACACACGAGGACGCGCGCCCAACGCCTACCAAAAGGATGTTGGGGCCAGGAACCAAAGCCCCAGGCCGCAGCAACACCGGGCGAGCCACAGTCGGGATAAAGCTACCCCCGTGCTCGGAAACGCAGAGCGCACCCTAGGTGTGCATGCACCTTCCCCCATGAATGGGGTGCCTGACACGCGTGCACGACGGACGCACGCACGCGAACAGCACAAAAGCATGCAAAGGAGAAGATTCGACCACCCACACAAGGACGGCGAGCCCGCAGTCCCTGGTGCAGCCAGCGCCAGGACGACATGCGGTCACGCCCCAGATGTGGGGTAAAGCACGGATGCCTGCCAAAAGGGCCAGCCGCATCGGGCCGTGCAAGAAACACAAGACGGCGAACCCTCGCCACTGGGAAAACTCGACCACCCACACAAGGACACGAGGACCGACACCCCTGGTGCCGAGAGCGCCAGGACGACCTCAGTCTCGCCCCAGATGTGGGGTTACGCACGGATGCCTGCCAAAAGGGTCAGTCGCATCGGGCCGTGCAATGAAAGAAAGATAGGCCGCCCTGTGCCACAGCAAATCAATCAGAACTGTCCGACTCATCCTGGCGGCGTCTCGCCAGGAAAGAAGGGGTGTGTTGTCGCGACGGTTGGGGTTCCTGCCGCACCTCATGCGCAGGCACCTCGGAAGTACCTTCAGCAAGGGCGGCCAGTGCGGCCTCAGAGTTGAAACGCTGAATCAGGCCTTCCGTGTCCACCGTGACGCCAGCAATACGCAACTGATACCTAGGGTGGAGGCCTTTGCACAGATAGTCCCAACCCTGCTTGCACGCACGCGAAGGGACCGAAACACACTGTTTGCTGAGTCCACGAATGTGCCCACCACACGTGAGGCATTTACATCGAAGACAAATAAAGAGAACAGAGTTGTCAGAACACGGAAAAGCCACAGTCCGATGGCCAAGCGCGTCCTGAGAGTCAGTGTGGACAAGAGAGGACCTAGAGCAGGAACCTGGAGCTGGCTTCGAAAAGGAACGGTTCCCCTTCAAACAGTGAGCGCACCTCCAGATTCCGCCCCACGACCTCCAGTCGTGCCCAAGGACCTCCTTCCTCGGGTTTTGAACCACGGGGAGTCTGTTGGCCCCATCGAGGTCCACAGGAGGCCATAAAAGGGAGCACATGCACAGCAACCTTCATGGTGGCCCTCGCTAAGGCCACAAGGTGGTCGGCCTCCTGCAGAAGAGTGTCATCCGTGGGATGGAGGCGGACCGCAAACTTAGCCCCTACATCCGCATGGTAGTTGCCGAGACGGCGCCAACGCTCTTCGGCAGAAATCCCTGGAGCATCCACGTCGAGGTGGGCGGCCACCTTGGAGCAGGCAGCTATCCCCGAGACCTGTCCGTGCACCTGAAGAAAAAAACCCAGCATACATGCGCTTAGGCGAGAGCTGAATCTGCTTAGCGAGACCCGCAGTCTGGATCACATTACTGCAATCAGAATACACATGGCATTCAGCAGGATGGGTCGCCAGAACATTGGCCCAAGTGAACGCACTGAATTCAGCATTCTGAGGGGTCTGAGGGTAGGGGCCCCGAACAGGGGCTCTCAGCTCAGCCACAGGATCCCCCGACTCGTCGACCATGCAGACTGAGGGGCCAGCACGAGAGAGCTCCTTGGCAGCGTGACGGGTACACGAGCCATCAACAAATTAAGGAGCCCCACGCTCTGTTGCTGACGGGGGCACCTCCAGGGTCAAAATCTGGCATCTTGTGCCACGCCAGGGTCGGACCATCACCTTGCTCATCAGCAGTCCGAGGGAAGGAGTCGGCGGGGTGCCGAAAGGCCCCAGATATAAAGACCAACAGCTCGTCATCATCCCCAGACGCCTTAGCAGACAGAGCGGCCTCGATCACCTCGCTGTCAGTAGCCTCAAGCCGAGCTGAAGCAGCCTCGGGGAGAGGGCATTCCCAAAGCCGATGGAAGATGGTATCGTTGGACCCGCAGTGGACACACCACGGTTCAATGTCGTGCCCAAGGGCCCTGGCTCGAGCCCGAGTCAAGGTGGCCACCGTAGAGAAAGCTCTGGTCCTAGCCTTCTGAGGGGCCGTGAAACGCTTGCTACGGGGCGCGATAGCCTCCTTGACAACGTCATAACAAAGACGGTAAGAGATGTCCCTCCTGGCAGCAGCATCTCTTTCCAAAACTCTCAGAAAAACCCGCGCGGACCAGGGGCCCAACGAGAGCGGGCGAGAAGATCCCAAGGGGGATAGATTTCCCGAAATCGTCGACCAGGGTCATGAAGTTAGGCATACTCCACCCTAATCTGACCAGAGACATCCTCATGGCAGTGATCGGCTCCGCCACCTTCCTCCAGCTACAGCTGGGGTCAGAAAAGATGGCGGCCCAGGCAGACTTCAAAGTGGGCAGATGGATAGCCCAGCTGAAAGCGCCTGTCTGTCTGAGCCAGATCTCCTTACTCCATCTAAGGATAGGGGCGGTGGCCGATCGCCATGTCGGGCCATTGTCCAGCAGGGCGAGGACCGTGAGGGACCTCAGCCGACTGCGCGGGCGCGCAACACTAAAATGGCGTCGGCGCAGCAAGCTAAGGCCATGATCGCTTATGCCCGTGGCTTCGGTACCGTATGAGGCCCCCACCAGGGGGCCAGCAGAGAATACCTTCAAGGACGTAGACCGAGTAAGTACCTTAGCCTGCCGCACTAGGCGCCGCGCAGCTGTGCCCGCCCTGGCGAGCCTGGCCTTCATCTTGGCCGATCGTCCAGCAACTCTATCAGCGCGGCCTGCCGAGTAGTCAACTCCGAGGTTGACGGCTGAGCCTGTACAACGCTGGCAAAGATGGCTGATACGAGAGAGGACTTGTGAACCCACACATTTGGAGCTGGACGCAATAGCAGTTTTTTTCCAGAGCGAAGGAACACCCGAAAACCTCCTGGACGACAGAGTCGAGCGCCATGGCCCCACGAACGATCGAGTCGATGACGACCTTCGGGGGGCCAGTCGACGACAGCCCTTGATCATCAATGTAAACGTCCAGCGAAGCGGCAGGGGACAGGGG